GTTCGCTTCGATGTCGACTTCGGTTGGCCCGCTGCGACTCGATTCCGATGTTCGGTCGACCCTTCTTCCTCTTCTTCCTCTTCTTTTTATATTCCTCTTCTTCTGTTTATTTATAGTATGTTTCTTCCGACTCTTCTTCTTCTTCTTCTTCTTCTAATTTCCATTATTATTATTATTCCCCCTCTTCTCCCTTCTTCTTCTTCTTCCTCCTCTATTTTTGACGCTGCGCGCATGTAGGGCACCGAAGCGCCAGTGGAGATGCACGGGATTAACAGAGAACGCCGACTCGGCGGAGCGAGACACAAGTCGGACCTGGCTGGCGCAGCCGATCGGGACAGGCAAAAAGAACAGGAACAAGAGGAGGAGTAGGAGGAGGAGAACGAGGGAGGAGGAGGAGGAGGAGGAGGAGGAGAAGGAGGACGAGGAGGAGAGGAAGGAGGAGGAGGAGGAGGAGGAAGGAGGAGGAGGAGGAGGAGGAGGAGGAGGACGGAGGAGAAGGAGGAGGAGAAGGATGAGAAGAAGGAGGACGAGGAGGAGAGGGAGAAGGAGAAGGAGGAGGAGGAGAAGGAGGAAGGAGGAGGAAGAGGAGGAGGAGGAGGAGGATGTCATCCTCCTCCCCCGAGATCCGGCGTGTCGAGCAGGCGTGCAGCAGCGTAAGTGATCAGGGCCAGACCCCCGGACCCCCTCCTTTTCTGCGCCATTGTTCCGAGCCGCGTCGACCGGGGAGGCCCCCCCGGGGGAGCGCAGGTGGGCACAGACGCCCGCCTCGGAAGCATCGAGACGCCAGGAGTTCGGAATCCTCCCCCTCCTCCGCCCGGAGACCAGAGCTCAACGGGCGAAGAACGGTATAAGATAAACTTTTTCGCCGTCGGGGACACCTGCCCCAGGGCGGCTGGAAAGTTTATACCCTTACGGTGGCACCGTAGGGGTATAAACTTTCCAGCCGCCCAGGGGCAGGTGTCCCCGACGGCGGAAAGTTTATCTTATACCGTTCTTCGCTCGCTGAAGAGCGCCCAGTCTTGCGCGAGCGAGCCCCCTAGACGAAGGGACCTCGGCAGGGCCGAACCGGACCTTGTTGATGATGCCAGTGCTCGCGTAGATGGGAGTAGGGGGAACGAACAATGACATAAACATGGAAAAACTCAGAGGTGCGCGCGGATTTCTCGGATCCGCGCTGAGACCCCTTGGCGGCGCCTCCGGCGCCGCCTGCTGGGCGCGCTCCGCGCGCCAGGAGGGGGTCCTACGCTGATTCCAAGAAATCAATCCGCCGGCGTCCCCCATGTTTCCTCATGATTTTCAAGGTTTTCTCCTTCCCCCGCACCACTCAATATTTTTCAAGATTCTCCCATGTTCTTCCCAGCGCCGATCCGAGAAAAATTCGCGCGGTCCTCCGAGTCTTACCTCTCGGTCACTGCTCGCTGCGCCTGGCGGGGCCCCCCGCGCTCCACCCGGCGGCTCGATCGACGACGGCCCCCCCTTCCGCCCCGAGGAGCGCGGTGACGCCGCCAACAGCCGCCGCGCCCGCCGCCCGAGCCAAGGCCCCCCCCCCGCTGGAGTGGGCCGCCGAGCGCGGGCCGAGGGCGTGGGCTCGATCCTCCTCCTCCTCCTCCTCCTCCTCCTCCTTCCTCCTCCTCCTTCCTCCTCCTCCTCCTCTCCTCCTACTCCTCCCCTCCTCTCCTCCCCCTCCCCCTCCTCCTCCCTCCTCCTCCTCCTCCTCCTCCTCCCCTTCCTCCTCCTCCTCCTCCTCCGCCGCCGCCCGAGGGCGTGGGCTCGATCCGGGCAGGCCCCTCTGCAGGAGGGAAGAGCTCCCAACAGCCGAAACATAGCACCCAGACCTCCTCGAGTCATGAAAAAATCACGACGGGAGGTTTTTCGCTATTTTCGGCCTCCGGGGGCCCTCACCGGGCCTCGGGACCGTCAAAAAACGACCTGGGACGAAAAACCGGCCCTGGGGAAAGGGTCTGGATTTCTGGGGACGCCGTCCTGACAAAAATCAGGACGCCGCATGTCTGGGAAGAGCTCCCAACAGCCAAAACATACGCACGGGGCCGACGTGCTGACCATGCTTGACTGCCCCTGCATCCTAACTACCGGGGGCCCAAGGACAGAATATACACCACCACAACCACCACGCCGGTTCCTCCTCTCTCCTCTGCCCTCCTCTCCCTTTCCCCCTTTCCTGGGGGAGGGAGGGGGGCGAGGGAGGGGGTGGTGGTGTATATATTCTTGGGCCCCCCTTTCTGTTTTGACCAGCCCTTTGTAGTGTTCGTCCAAGGTCCGCCTGCCGGGGGACGTGCCCGACCCGTGCGCGGGCGCCCGGCCCTCTCTCCCTGCCGCCCGCGCCCGGGCCCGGCCCCTGCGCTGGGGCCCCCCCGGCCGCGCGGGGGCAGACCTCGACCTCGGCCCCCCCGGGGCCCGCGGGGGGCAGCCTGGGCCTCCCAGCTGGAGTCGGGGCAGAGAGGTCTTCTAGGAGGAACTGGAGGAGGAGGAGGAGGAGGAGGAGGAGGAGGACGAGGACGAGGAGGAGGAGGAGGAGGATGACGAGGACGAGGATGGAGGACGAGGACGAGGACGAGGGACGAAGACGAGGAGGAAGAGGAGGAGACATGAGAGGGGAGGAAGGGGAGGAGCGGAGGAGGAGGAGAAGGAGGAGGAGGATGAGGAGGAGGAGGATCGCGCCGCATCGCCGATGCATCGGCGATTCGGCCTCGACGGGGAAGGCCCGTTGTTCCCCACGCCGTCGTCGGCGACGCCCTCGCGCCCACTGGGCCCGCCCGCGCCCGGGCGCGCCCTTCCTGTGCTCGGCCCCGAGAACCTGGGAGGGGGGGGGGAGGGGGGGGGGTTGGGGGGGGGGGAGGTCAGGTGTTCAACCTGCCACGCGTGCTTCTGGTATAGGGGGGTCCAGACCTCCCCGGAGGGAGGAGGAGGACTAGGACGAGGAGAGGACGAGGACGCGACGAGGAGGACGAGAGGAGAAGGAGGAGGGGGAGTATGGGGTAGGGAGGGGGAGGAGGAGGAGGAGGAGTAGGAGGAGGAGGAGGAGGGAGGAGGCGAGGAGGAGGGAGGAGGATGAGTAGGGCGGGGGAGGAGGAGGAGGAGGAGGAGGATCGCGCCGCATTGCCGATGCATCGGCGATGCGGCTCGATGTGGAGCCCAATATTCTCCACGCCGCTCGCGCCGATACATCGCCAACGTCGCCAATACATGGCCGATGCATCGGCGAGGCGGCGCGATCCTCCGACCCCAGCTATTGGGACCCCACCTGTTAAGGCCTCCAAGAGAGGAGTCAGAGGCAACCTCAAGGGGGTGGGCGACATCCCTGAGACCCTGGCGTCTCAATTGTGCTCGAGCTGGGCGTGTTTCGCCAGGTTTCGGGCCCCAAGACCTTGGCAGACCGATCTGGCTCGGAACCTGCGGCACCCCGAGTGGGTCTGGGGCTCTGGCTGCGCTTTTGTGCTCTTCTGTCTGCTCGTGCCGTCGGATCCCAGGGAGGCTCCGGCTCGAGGCGCGAGCGCGCGAGGAGGCTGGGCGGACTCCCAGACATCCGACGCCGCGGTCCTGCTTGCCCGCGCGGCCCCCCAGAGGTCGGGACCCCTCCACGGGGGCACGCCCCGCCTCCCGCGTCGCTCTCGACGGCCCCGGGGCCTCGCCATCGGGGCGGCCAAGAGGGGGGGGGGTGATGGTTATCGGTAAGAAGGGGAAGTCCTGACCGGGGCCATGAGATCCTCAGGTACCTCCCCCAGTTGTTTTTGTTGTTGGTGCCCCCCTCTTTCTCTTTCCCTGGCGTCTCCTGGCCACCGCCGGGCCGCGCGCGCCTCGCGAGAGGATCCGTGGACCGCCCTCTTGGAGGCGCTCCTCTTCGGCGCCCCGGGTGCGGGCCCCCCCGCAGGACGACAGCCTTCGAGCGCCGTGCGCCGGTTCTCGATGGCCTCTGGGCGCCTCTGGGCCCGGTGGAGGGCGCCCGGGGAGCCGAATACTGCAACAGCGAGGTGGTTCACGACGCGAGGACGTCGGTCGTCGGCGCGCCATGGGGGAAGGCAGAGGAGGCCGGCCTCTGCAGAGAGCGACGGGGCTTCTCGGGAGTTGTCGCGCCTTCTGAGGAGCCGGCTGCGGCCTCGGCGGAAGCCCGCGGAAGGCCGCCTGTAAGGCAGGAGGGCTCCCGGGAGGCCCCGAAACCTGCCGAGGAGGCCCGCGCCCTCTTCCGAGGCGGGGGTCTATCCATGACCACCTCCTGGGGGATCGATCCGATCTTCGGGCACCTTGGCAGGCGTGGGTATGGACATAGTCCTGCCCCAATACAGGCCTCCTAGATGGGGTCGAAGTAGATGGGGTCGACGGTCGGAGGATCGCGCCGCATCGCCGATGCATCGGCGATGCGGCTCGATGTGGAGCCCGATTTCCTCCAAGCCGACGTCGCCGTGCTCGGCGATGGCGGCGCGATCCTCCGACCCCATCTACTCGCGACCCCATCTGCTTTAGGAGGCCTCTGCCCCAAGGTCCCTCCTCCCCGTCCTCCTCCTCCTCCTCCTCCTCTCCTCCTCCTCCTCACTCCTCCTCCTCCTCTTCGCCCGGCTCCCCCCCCTCCCCCTCCTCCTCCCCCCTCCTCCCCTCCTCCTCCTCCCCCTCCTCCTGCTCGGCCTCCTCCTCCGGCCTCCCCCGCCTCCTCCGTCTCCTCTCCTCCTCCTCCTCCTCTTCCTCTCCTCCTCCTCCTCCTCGCTCCTCCTCCTCTGGCCTCCTCCATCTCTCTCCTCCTTCCTCCTCCTCCTCCTCCTCCTTCTCCTCATCCTCCTCATCCCTCCTCCCCCTCCTCCTCCTCCTTCCCTCCTCCTCCGCCTCCTCCTCCTCCTCCTCCTCCTCCTCCTCCTCCTCCTCCTCCTCCTCCCCCTCCCCTCCGTAGCCATTTTGGCTCAAGCCCCTTTCCCCCTCTGTGGCCACGGGGGGTGGACCCGCGCATCTTGAAAAGGGGCGCAGCGGGCCCGAGCCGCCATGGAGGCCTCAGCATGAAGCTCGAGGTCCGTGCGACGCAGGAGACCATCGGCGTGGAGCTCGGGCAGCGCACCAAGGGCTTCGTCGAGGGCCTCGGTTTCGCCATCGACGCGTTTGTCTTGGACGTTAAGGTCGATGGCGGCAAGGGCTGCGGCACAGGGCGCAGTGGCGCCATCCACGCCTCCCAGAAGGTATCGGTCTCCAGGAGGATCGTGGACGACGGCTGGAGCTTCTGCGACGAGGCCCCCGAAGGAGAAGGAGCTCAACCAGATCTTCCATTACGGGCTCACGCAGGTGATCGAGGAGGCTCCGCCGGGCTGGTGGGGCACGGCGCTGCCGCCAGCGGATTGGCGGGGGGCGAGGCCGCCTGCCTCGCCGCCGACCGCGGAGTTGCAGATGCGCAGCCAGCAAGGGGCGGAACTCAACGCGGAGATCCTCTCCCTGGGGCACGCGCAGGCGCCGACGAAGGAGAAGGACCCGTTCGGCTTCGAGGAGGCGGCGGAAGCCATCGCAGCGAAGAAGCACAAGCACAAGGACGAGAAATGGGAGAAGCACAGACGCAAAAAGGGCTCGGGAGTCTTCGAGTTCAAGAGCGAGCTCGCGCTCCCGCACCAAGAAGAAGGACCAGACATCCAAGAAGGACGAGAAGTCCAAGAACGAGGGCAAGGGTAAGCACACTCGCAGGTCGCCGTCGACGTCGCTGGTGGACCGTTCCCAGGCGGCCAAGAGAGGCGCGCCCATTGCCCGAGTCTCGAAGTGGAGGTGCGAGATGCTCAGGTTTGTGAATTTCGGGTTCAGGGCGATGCGCTGGGAGTGCAGCTCCCCTCCTCCGCCCGAGGTCAAGAGGCTCCAGGACCAGCGCGCCGCGGACCTCCAGGTGGTCTCGGAGGAGGAGGTGATGGAGCCCGTGGCGATGCCAAAGAGGAGGCCAGGACAGTTGCGCGCTGACGGCTGCTGAAGTCGCCCAGCACTGCCTCGCTGGAATGGACGAGGCGCTCGCTGGCTGGAGGCGTGTTGCCATGGGCTTAGGCGACATCACCGATGAGGAGGTCGAGGGCGCTGGCGACGAGGCCGACGCGCCCGGCATTCGGAGCGACTTCTATGACAAGTACCACGGCGCAAAGCGTTACGACGGTTTGGCGACTTTTGAGAGTGAGTTCTGGGGTCTCGGTACCTTGCAGAAGGGTGGGGGCTTACAGGATGAGGACAAACAGAAGATGGCAGACTTGAAGCTGCCCGACGTGCCGCCCTTCCCCGACCTGAGCTTCAAGGAGAAGCCCACCAAGGATGGGTTCGAGGTCACGTGCGCGGTGGAGGTCAGCAGCAGTTTCGGGGAGCTGTGCGACGGCGATGTCTTGAAGAAAAGCCAGGGCTGCGACATCGAGGAGTGCAACAGCAAGAAGATCATTGAGATGTCGGAGGTGGCGGAGAGCATCGTAAGCCTCTCAGCGGTGACGTCCGACGAGCGTGGTGCCGACGATGACCATGAGGGGGCCCGCGGTCTAGGCTCATTGGGGGTGTATCGTGCAGGGCTGGGCGGAGGCGTTCGTCCGCGTCGCGACCCAGTTCATCCTAGAGGAGTGCGTCTTCCGCTCTCGGCTGGCAAGTCCAAGGGCACGGGCGGCGCCGGCGCTAAGGGCTTCAAGGTGCTTGGCAAGTTCTACCAGTCGGAGGATGACATTCCCACCGAGGCTCTCCTGCAGCTCGCGGAGGTGAGGTTCGGGATTCCCACTGCCGCCAAGTTGCGCGAGGCCTTCGGCTAGGTCGCGTCCACCTTCGGCGTGTGGTGAGGGCCTCGGTGGCGGGTTCTTCTGGTAGGCGTCTTGTCGCCTTCGCTTGATCCGCCTCGTTTTTTGGCCGTTGGGCTGTTTCCGCTCGCGGCGGCTTGTCGCCGCTGGGCGCCGCTCGAAAAACTGGTTCTTCCGCCGAGCCGTGGCTCGTGCGGCGGCTCGGGCTACCTGCCATTGCTCCTGCCTGGCGGCAGGCGTCGCAGCGGGCAGCCTGCTGATCGTTTTGCTGGGCCATCGTGTCCAGCATCCGCTGCTCGGCATAGGCAGGGCGGCGCGGCCAGCGCGCCAGGGGGTGGAGACCAACCCTGCATCATCAGGACCCTCAGGACCCTCCTCCTCCTCCTCCTCCTCCCCCTCCTCCTCCTCCTCCTCCTCCTCCTCCTCCTCTTCCTCCCCCCCCCTCCCCCTCCTCCTCCGCCTCCTCCTCCCCTCCCCATCCCCCTCCTCCTGCTCGCCCTCCTCCTCCTACTCCCTCTCCTCCTCCGTCTCCTCCTCCTCCTCCTCCTCCTCCTCCTCCTCCTCCTCTTGTCCTCCTCCTCCTCCTCCTCCTCCCTTTTTCCTCCTCCTCCCCCTCCCTCCTCCGCTTCCTCCTCCTCCCCCCACTTACTCTCCTCCTCCTCCTCCTCTCCCCCTCCTACCCCCTCCTCCCTCCTCCTCCCTCCTCCCTCCTCTTCCTCCGCCTCCTCCTCCTCCGCCTCCTCCTCCTCCTCCTCCTCCTCCTCCTCCTCCTCCTCCTTCTCCTACTCCTCCTCCTACCCTCCTCCTCCTCCTCCCCGCCTCCTCTCCTCCTCCTCCTCCTCCTCCTCCCCCCCACCAGTCCTCCTTCTCCTCTCCTCCTCATCCTCCCCTCCTCCTCCTCCTCCTCCTCCTCCTCTCCTCCTCCTCCTCCTCCTCCTCCTCCTCCTCCTCCTCTCCTCCTACTCCTCCCCCCCATCTCCCCCCTTTCCCCCCCCCCCCCCCCCCGGGGGGAAGCCGAGGACGGCGGCTCCCTGGGCGCTGGCCACAGACAACTCCCCCCGCGCCCCGCCTCCGTGCCCCCCCCCTCGAGCGCGCTGCCGAGTCGGGGCAGGCGTCGGCGGCCGCGCCAGGCGTGGTCACGCCGGGGTGCGGTCTGCGATTTTCGGGGGCGGCAGAGAGGGGGGGCCCCAAACGGGGTGGTGACCACACCGTGTGGTGAGTCGGTGGGGATTTGGGATCACCAAACGGTTTGGGGACTCGGGTCGTTTTCCGAGGACGTCGCGGGCGACGGGTTTCCAGGGTCCCAAGACCGTGCGGTGACGGACCGTGCGGTGATGGCTCTTGGAGTTCCGAGGTCACCGCACGGTCTGTCACCGCACGGTTTTGGGACCCCCATCGTCTAGGGGGGGATATCATGGCGGGGGCCATGATATATTCCCTGATTTCATGGCGCCTCTTCTTATGTCAATGCGTCTTCCCTGGCCCCCCCCTAAGCCGCGCACGTGCCGCCGGCCACGATTTGCGACCCCCCGTCGTGGACACCCCCCTCTTGGCCGCCCCCGAGATCTGCGCCTCTGTTGTTCTGGGGGGGCACCACGCTGCGCCAGAGGCTCGGTGCTCCCTCGGCGGAGGCGCGGCGGAGGAACTGGTCGAGGTCCTCGCCGGCCCCACCAGGGCGCGGGTGGCAGACCGCACCCTTTGAAAAACCACACCCCTGGCGCAGTCGCTTGGCATCGCTTGGACTTGTGCATTTTTCCTTCGACGGGGGCCATCGAGGAGCATCCTTGATCATTTGGCGAAAGAACCACGCACGAAACCGGCAAACAAACACGGGGAATGGACGTCCGAGCGATGGCGGAAAGGGGGGGATCTGCCCAGGGGGGGGGACGCATCGACCTCCGATTGCCCCTTCGTCGCCGATGGGGGCCCGGCTGTCCACCCCGCTCAGAGACGTCGATGTGCGCAATCAAGGGCACGTCGCCGATCTGTCGGCGTCTCCTCCTCCCTCCTCCCTCCTCCTCCTCCTCCTCCTCCTCCTCCTCCTCCTCCTCCTCCTCCTCCTCCTCCTCCTCCTCTTCCTCTTCCTCCTCCTCCTCCTCTCCCCTCCTCCTCCTCCTCCTCCCCCTCTCCTTCTCCTCCTCCTCCTCCTCCTCCTCCTCTTCCTCCTCCCCTCCTCCTCGCTCCTCCTCCTCCTCCTCCTCCTCCTCCCCGACTCCCCTCCTCCCTCCTCCTCATCCCTCCTCATCCCTCCTCCTCCTCTCCTCTCCTCCTCCTCCTCCTCCTCACCATCCTCCTCCTCCTCCTCCACCTTCTCCTCCTCCTCCTCCTCCTCGCCTCCCCTCTCTTCCTCCTCCTCCTCCGCCTCCTCCTCCTCCTCCTCCTCCTCCTCCTCCTCCTCCTCCTCCTCCTCCTCCTCCTCCTCCTCTTCCCCCTCCCACCTGGTATCGTTGTCCCAGACAGCTCGCCATCCGCTCTGGGCTCTGCGTTTTTTGTTTCTCGCGTGCTGGAGGCATCGGTTTCAATCATGCGGGCTGGCGTCGCTCCGCCCGCGCCCCCTTCCGTTACCTCGAAGTCGGGCGTGCTCTCTGCAGTGGGAACATTCACAATATTCTGGGGACGATGCTTCGATTCTTGCTTGATATGTTTTGTACGTATTGCTTACACCTCCCCCCATATGTGGTGTTCTTGTGGTTCTCTCTGTCGATCTTTCGTCCGTTTTTTTGTGTTTTCTCTCTCTCCCTCTCTCTCTCTCTTTCCCTTTCTCTCTCTCTCTCTCTCTCTTCCTCTCTCTTTCTCTGTCCCTTTCTCTATGTGTCTCTGTCTCTCTCTTCGTTTCTCTTTTTACGTCCTCCTTGCATATTCACCGAGAGGGGTGGATGGAGGAAGAGGGTGAAACAGAGGCAGAGAGAGAGAGAGAGTGCGTGCGAGAAAGGGAGGATCATCACAATGAGCCCGGGATCGTGATGAGCAGGCTCTCCTTCTTCTCGATCCTTGCGGCCTGAAGAGATCGAGACGACGGGTCACTCGCCATGCTCAGTTTGGCCGCCAGCAGGGCCATCCCAGCTACACAGGTCGGAACGACAAGCTGGACCCAGAGAACTGGGCTGAGAGGTCCAACGACCAAGGATCCCGCATCGAGACAGTCCAGACATCAGAGGTTTTTGGGGGAGAATGGGGGGGGAGGATCGAGGATCAAGTTTTTTGGGCCGGTTTTGTCTGATTTTGTGTTGTGGTTGCGCAGGTTGTTCCAAGGGGGTGTATCCGGAGACTTCGATGGGGTTTCTGCAGATTTCGAGGGTTATTCTCTCCCGCTGTATCATCTCCCTCATCCTCCCCCCCCCCAGACGGCGACGTCATTGTCATGGTCGTCGTCCTCACTTTCGACGTCGTCGTCCTTGTCGCCGTGGGCCCTGACGTCGCAGTCTTTCTGGTCGTGTTTCCTTACACGCTCGATGCCCTTGGGGGCGGCGTGGTCTTTCTGCGGCGCTCGGCGCCCTTTGTCTGGCCACCTGGTTTCGTCAGCGCGTGCCGCGAAATAGAGCGCCGTCCATGCTGCTGAATGCAGACAGGGGGGGGCGGTGCGGCGGCGGGATGAGGAGGAGGCGCATGGGGTGGGTGGAGCAGGAGGAGGGGAGAGGAGGAGGAGGAGGAGGAGGAGGAGGAGGAGGAGGAGGAGGAGAGGACAGGATGAAGGATGAGGGAGGAGGAGGAGGAGGAGGAGGAGGGGGAGGACGGGGACGTTGAGGACAGGGAGGAGAAGGCAGAAGCAGAGACAGAAGGAGAGGAGGAGGAGGAGGAGGGAGAGGAGGACGAGGATCCCCGGGCTGGCACTTATCCCGTCGGCCTGCTATTCCCGCGAGAGTCCTCTGCTGAGAAGGAGCTGCCTTGCATCCTCGTGGCGAGTTTTGCCCCGGAGAGCGAAGCGGCAGGGTCGCAGAGCTCGGCGAGGCGTCCAGCGCACGCCCCGGTCCGAGAGGGGGCCGCCACCAGCCGCGCAGCAGGACAGCGCTGGCACTTCTGGCAGCCGGGTGCAGGGAAGTCTAGAACGAAACACCATGCTTCTCCTTCTCCTCCTCCTCCTCCTCCTCCTCCGCCCTCGTCCTCGTCCTCCTCCTCCTCATCCTGCTCCTCCTCCTCCCTCGTCCTCCTCCTCCTCCTCCTCGTCCTCCTCCTCCTTCCTCCTCCTCCTCCTCCTCCTCCTCCCCTCCTCACTGCGCGCGCGCCGCCCCGTGGCGCCTGGGCGGGTGCCGCGGGGCGGCGCGCGACAGGGCCTGGCCGCCGGGGTGCCTCGGGAGGCGTGCCAACGTGTGCCTCCAGGGGTGCCCTGGGCTTCTTGGGTTTCGGGGGTTTTGCTGTAGATCTGGACGCCCGAAATGGGTACTCCCATTTCGGGGGGGGGTCTCTTCCAGGCTATCTTGGAGGGCCTGGGGGGTCTGGGGACGATGTTTTGGAGGGTTCTCCCACGGGGGAGTTCTGAAATGGCTTGTCTTGGAGGATCCAGACCCCCTCCCTTTTATTACGAAATCTGGAGTACGGAAAGAATGGGTAGAATGCCCAACAGCAATTCTTGTCCACTGTGAGCAGGGTCCGCTGTCCGCGCCGCCGCGGCCTGTGCCCATTCGAGACGGAAGGCCGCCTGCCCAACAGCGGCCGCTGTTGGTTTGGGACAACATTTCTTGTTGGGCACTGTACCAATTTTTTCCGTACCCATTTCGGGCGTCCAAATTGGATCTCGGGGGTTTTGCTACAGAAGGCGTGGCGATCCCGCGCCAAACATCCACGGGCGTCCTGGGGTCTCAGGGCTGGTTTTCTCGTGGAAGGTGTCTTGGGCGACGGGCCCCCACTGTGGCCGCCTTTCGAGCAGGAGAGCCCAATGTGGAGCTCGTGCCGCGCTCCGTCATTTTGGACCGCCGACAGCTTCTGAGACGGCTGTGCGCGTCGCTGAGGCCGCAGCCCAATCTTGAGAAACGGAACAGCCCTCTATCCTTACGACGACTGCACGCGGCGCTCAAGCGAGAGCCCCGTTTTGAATAGGCAGCCCCCCCCCCCATTCGGCAACGAGCGAGGGGAGGAAGTGAGCAGAAGCAGCCCTCTCAGGAGACGCCGGGGCCTCTCAGAAGCCCCACGGCCTTCCGAGAAGTCTGCCGTGTCCCTCGGCACTGACCTCGAAGCACTGCCTTGGCATCGCTCGGACGTGTGCATGTTTTCCTTCGGCGAGGACCATCGAGCAGCATCCTCGATCATTTGGCAAAAAAACACGCACGAAACCAAACAACAACACAGGGAATGGACGTCCAAGCGATAGCGAGCTGCTCAGGAGGCTGGAGGGAGCTTCGACCCCTCAGAGAAGGCCCGCCTCCCCTCGCTCCCCCCCCCCCCCCTTGGGCGCGCCGCCGCTCCATCCTCGCAGCTGCAGGGCAGGGCCCCTTCAGACGTCCGTGCGCGGCGCGACGCCGCGACGTCGAGGCATCCCCGGCCGGAAGCGGCACCGCACGGTGTCCCCCAGCAGCACCTTTGCAGCGAGAGGGGAGGTAGCTGGCGGGCCGCCCAGCCCGCCCCACAGGGCACGCCCTGTGTGTTTCAGCAGGGAGGAGCTGTCCACAAGGGTATCAAAGGGGGGCCTTGGTGAGGCAGGGGGGACGAGGACGGATGCGGAAGTGGAGATCGTAGAGGGACTCGAGGGAGGCAGAGAGAGTTTTGATTGCCGATGCTCGTGCCAGGGTTGCGGGTCAGAGTTCTCAGGGATGCTTATCAGGGTCTCTTCGGGGCGGTCTATAGGGCCTCTTGGGGTCAGTATTGTCACCTCTCAGTGCTACGTGAGCCTTGGGTCACTCCACTTCGCGCCAGAGGCACGGTGGCAAATCTACAAGGGATATGGGTGTTGGTGAAGCAGGGCAGCAGGACGGATGCGGAAGTGGAGGTCGTGAAGGGGTTTTGAGGAAGGCGGCAGAGAGAGTTCATTACTGGTGTTAGTTTTGGGAACCCTCCTGGGGCGCACCTCACGGATCTGTTCGGCTCTTCGTGCGATTGCAGTTCGATTCCAGCTCGACTCAAGTTCGACTCAAGTCGACGCCCGTTCGCTTCAGCATCGACGCTTGTGTGGAGCGAGCTGTTCCAGGCAAGCTGCCCGAATGAGAATCGAACCTTGCCAGATCGAGCCATTAACACTGGCATACTGTTACAAAGACGCGCCTCGACATAAGGACCGGTTTTGATTTGGCTCACCGGCGTGCAGTCGGGCATGATTGTGTCCTCGGGGCGCCTGCATTCGGAGCCGCCGTAGTTTTGGTCCATTGCCCGAGTTATGACTGTGTCGGCAATCCACCCTTGACGATGCGAATAAGTAGGTCGGACATTTCCGATTCAGACATCCGTGATCGGTCTTTCATATCCCACCTAGGTTCGGGGAAATAATTAGTTTTATTGCACGGTCTTTCATACCCCCCCCCCAAGTTCGAGGAAATAACTATTTTGTTTGATCGCGGGCTGATTGCGGAATGGGACCCCAACAATATGGCGACAGGAATTTTTGCTTCAACAGCGACCACCGCTCAGGCCGCCGCCGTATTCGTCCTCGCCGGTCGCGGACGCCTATACAGACGAATTCCTCCCTCAGGAGTTTCGGCCTCAGAAGCTAGAGCAAGTAGGTTTGTACTACCGAACTTGATCTGAGAGCCTAGGAATTCCTCTCGCGAGCAGAGC